TGGCACGATGCAAACATCTTTCTGAATCATTGTGAACGTTTCGATATTGCAGCTGGACAGAAGAGGCCTCATCTAACAGCTCATCCATTACCCACCCATCCGGAAATCACGTAATGTCGAGAGTGGCCGCAGCTCGAGTGTACTTCGGGCTGCCTACCTGGCGCGGCGCTGGCGCCAGTCAGGTGGCCGCATTACTGTTGAGCAGCGCCCGTGGGCCGCCCACCAAGCTCGGCGGAGTCCCTCGGTGCTGGCGCGTCGTCGACAGTATCAATCTCGGTGACGCCGGTGCCTCGAGACGCTCCCATGAGGACGGCCGGCGACACCAGAGAGCCTTACTAGATGGCAGCCACGCTTGGGGAGGAGGATGATAAAGCGAGCTGTTCAAAGGTGCTGGCGTCTCTCCAGCGTCGCCACTCCGTCCCAGTGTGTCGGGTAACGAAAAATGATCGCTGATCATTAGATGCCGTACAGGGTCAGGGACAACACAAGGCGGAAAAAGCAGCCGGGATACCAAACGCAGCCAGATCAAAAGGTAGCCGGGATACCGAACGCAGCCAGATCAAAAGGTAGCCGGGATACCGAGCGCAGCCAGATCAAAAGGTAGCCGGGATACCGAACGCAGCCAGATTAAAAGGTAGCCGGGATACCGAACGCAGCCAGATTAAAAGGTAGCCGGGATACCAAACGCAGCCAGATCAAAAGGTAGCCGGGATACCGAACGCAGCCAGATCAAAAGGTAGCCGGGATACCGAGCGCAGCCAGATCAAAAGGTAGCCGGGATACCGAACGCAGCCAGATCAAAAGGTAGCCGGGATACCGAGCGCAGCCAGATCAAAAGGTAGCCGGGATACCGAACGCAGCCAGATCAAAAGGTAGCCGGGATACCGAACGCAGCCAGATCAAAAGGTAGCCGGGATACCGAACGCAGCCAGATCAAAAGGTAGCCGGGATACCGAACGCAGCCAGATCAAAAAGTAGCCGGGATACCGAACGCAGCCAGATCAAAAAGTAGCCGGGATACCGAACGCAGCCAGATTAGAAGCCGAAAGCTGGATGGTATATAGCGAAGCTGCATTTCGCTCCGCGTTGCTCCACGAATTGGGCAATCATTCAAATCAGTCAATCAATGAATAAGAAAAATATGAATTAGGCTATTAATGAAATGCGTACAAACACATGCATATATATATATATATATATATATATATATATATATATATATATATATATATATACGGGCATGCATCCAGATTAGTGGATACATACACCCATATGCCCTTCTTTTGAGGAACTTTTCAAATCAGCCTAGCTTATATATATATATATATATATATATATATATATATATATATATATATATGTGTGTGTGTGTATATGTATACATACATATATAGAAATATCCTAATGTATAATAAATTAGCCCACCGTGACGATGGTGTCTAATAAAGATAAAATTGTCAATGCATGGAAGTGAACGACTTTAAAATAGGTATACTACTTCTCACACCTTCTGTGATGTACCTACATCTATGGTCAGAATCTATCAGGAAAGATGTTTTCCAGAATCTGCGATTAACATGATCAAACCAAAAAGGTAGTCCATCGTGATTACGCCTGAAGTCCTTGCCAGTCCTCTGGTGATACATTTGCTGTTAGCAGCAAGTGATTGCGCGAGTGGGGTTAAGCATTTGCGGCAACACCATTCAAATGCAACACCGGCTAAGTGCTCGGTCGGGCCGTGGCCGCCGCTGCCGAGCTGGCCCGCGCTGTGCAGGCGTGACGCGCGGGAAACAGCTCGGTCATATGACGCTGCCCGACTTGGGCGCTTTGCTTGGGCACTCTAGGTTGGGCAAAGGCGCACCCAGCCACGTCCGTACAGGTCGGGCAGGAGGGCACCCAGCCACTTCCGCACAGGTCGGGCAAAGGCTCAACCAACGACGCCCATACACATAGCCCGGTGCCTATAGAACGGACAGTTGCTGTTTGGCCTCAGTACATGTTAACAGGATTTTAACTTAAGTTTGACGGGAAGATTGAGACGAATATTAGTCTTGCATATGGAAAAAAAATGTTCCATATGTAAGACTAATATGTGACTGTTCCATATGTAAGACTACCGCCATCGCTTGGGGTCGTCCCCGTCTAGATTCTGACTGTTCGGTGCCATCACCTGTTTATTAGCCGTCCTTGTGCGGGTGCGTGACGCTCGCTGGCTTACACAAGTTCTGCTGCGCTCGCTCGCTAAACGTCAATAACTTTTAACTAAGCACGAACTTCCGGGTTTTTTGTGTCCCAGCTGTCTGCCTCCAGGGGAGATGCGTCACAAGCTATTACGCGCGTCCGGAAGGTTTGGGAGTGATGACTTTGGCTGTGTGATCTAGCGCTTCCAAAAATAGTGCTACGTTTATATAAAAAACTATTATATATATATATATATATATATCAAACTATAAAAAGTGGCTTGGCACTCACGTCCTCATTATGACTGCAAACAAGGTGCTGCGGCTGCCGTGCTGCCGTCCACTTCCGCAAGCGTCGTCCTCCCGGACCTCAGCGCCAGCCAGCTGGGACATCGTCAGGAGACACAGCTGCGCAGCCCACGTGCCGACCTGACTTCATCAAGCCACGCCACAGCCGCCGCGCTGATGACGGGAGCGAGCTCGGCTGGCGAGCTGGGGCGCGCCGACTGCCCAGTTTGAGGCACACCAGCCGATCACACTCATCACCCTGTGCGTGGAGTGGGACAGCTACTCTGCGGAATAAGTCCCTGCCTGGCTGGCCGGAGGGATGACGTCAGCGTCAGAACCGGATCCGTTCTGGTGCGGTCACGGTGCGCTTGATGATGTCCTGTCCTTCAGAGGGACGCGGGGTTAGACATTGATTTTCGACATCACTGGACTTTCTGGGTCTAGGCTACATCGGGTCACTAATTGAGACAATTTTAGCTAGGCATGTCTGGTCAAAGCGTGGTTCTGACTAGCTTCCTCGGTATGTAATCCGTTCTAACGTATATATCACTCCTTTCTATTCCTCTTTCCTTGCAGCAGTGCTGTTTTCTGATCGTACGGTTTCTGATTTCATCGGTTACTACCTTAGACTGAACTCTAAAACTATGACTGTTCAGCTTTAGGTATTCACCTTTAGGGGCAACAGCGTTGGTCAAACCTGTGCGTGATATTGTACAACAGACCATCATGGGTTACTGAGAACGTTCAACCTCTTCTCAGTTTACGTGAGTCGCGCTCGAGAGGCGATCTTTGATGAAAGTGTGTACCCGTCGCAGCATAATAATGGCAGTTCCTGTCTGGTGGGCCCCATTGGGCTTCGACACGTCATCATGAATCGATGAACCTATGGTGATGGTGGAAATTCCAAACCTGATGGTGAAACTACTTGCAAACCTGATGGTGAAACTTTTTGCAAACCGGATGGTGAAACTACTTGCAAACCTGGTGGTGAAACTACGTGCAAACCGGATGGTGAAACTACGTGCAAACCGAATGGTGAAGCTACTTGCAAACCGGATGGTGAAACTACTTGCAAACCTGATGGTGAAACTATGCGCAAACCGGATGGTGAAACTACTTGCAAACCGGATGGCAATCGTGAGACTAAAGTCAAGCAGTTTAAAAGGCATACTTCACCCCTGGACAGACTATAGGTCAAGAGCGTTCATTAAACATGAAAATTCCATTAAAAAATATATTAAACATGCAAATTTCATTTGTTCTTGCTAAGACTGCCTTAATTAGCATAACTTTCTTAAAGAAGCCATCCGGTGCCGTTACGTCATGCCACATATGACGTAACGTCCAACCAATCGTCGAACAGGAACGACGCCTGGTGGTTACGTCGTTGACGGTTGGTTCATCCTGGTTCGTTCGTCAAGCAGTACTTCCCAGCCATATCACAGAATCAATATTTTAAACAGCCTGCCGAAAAGTTGCATTCAATTTTACAAGGTAGACCGTTTTTGCGGTCTCGCATAATCATGCTTGAATATCATCTGAGAAAGATAAGTTGATTATGTCAGCTCAAAGTCGGTTTGGTTTCCGAACCAGATGTCTTTTCTCAAAACCTCCTCAAACCCTAAACCATGCACATGTAAAAGCATGGACTTCACCACAATATTTCGTAAACAAATAGTCTAAATGGTGAAAACATTTTGTATTGGGATCGATCGTAGAAGGAATATAGAGATGAGTGGCAGCAGCCCACCATCTTTCACTGTAATAAGCTAGTTCTGATTGTTCCCCTGAAGGACACCTGTTCTGCTGGCCTCCCCACACGAACATTTCCCAGCATTCTACATATTGAGTGTGGGCAACGGAACAAAAGGATATGAACAAACATGACTATGATTGTGACCTCAACAACAAAAGGAATGGTATGAGTTTTGCTCGGAATCTCGAGTCTGCCCAATCGTTTTTCTTTTCTTTCGCTTTCCCTGCATCTTGAGAACACAGTGACGAAAGTATTCTAGTGGTCTTGAGTCTCGTGATTATATGGTCCGTGATTTGTGGTCCGGGATCATTTGTTCTCATGGTCACGAGTCCTGTAACCATGTGGTCCGTGATTTTGTCGTCCTTGGCCATGTGTTCTCGTGATCATAAACCTTGTGATCATGTGATCCATGACCATTTTGTCTGTGGCCATATGTTCTCGTGATCACAGGCCTTGTGATCATGTGATCCGTGACCACGTGGTCTGTGGCCATATACCCTCTTGATCACAAGTCTCGGGACCACTACCACAGCTTCGAAACATTACATTTGCCAGGATAATCAATGTTTGTTTGAAAACGCCACTGAACCAGCACCTCCTGGCAGATATGTGCGCGGATGGCAAGATGGATCCAGGATCTCGGAAGGTTCCGTGATGATGGGATCCTGTGATGCTGGCTCTAAGTACATGACTGTCTCCTGATATGCCAGCGGTCGGTTATTGTCACCATAACAACCCGAAACTCATTAGACCCGCACCAGTCTGTAGCATGTGCATATTTTAGTTTTATTGCTGAGTTCGTGAAATACGACTCATGACAACACAACTTTTAATGAGGGGCATTTTTTGCATTCCAAGCTCAGTTTGGTTCAAGGGCTTAAGGATTCGACAGTTCAACGGTTTGTAAAAAGGGCGACGAACGCATTTCAAAACACTGAAGTGCACTTATGTACCTGAAATAGCCAATCGTCACCAGCCGGTCCGTGTCGTGGCCCCCCGCCCGCACATGTCCGCCGCGCTACCTCGCTGGGGCCGGCGGCACCACTACGCCTGTCACCGCCTCAATCCACGGGATGAAGCGGCTCACGCGCGTGTACACGGACGGGTACTGCATGTAGCCGCAGGCGACACCCCATGATGTGACGCCGACCAGCGTCCAGGGCGCGGGGGCGGCGATCGGCGGGCAGGTGAGGCTGCCGCCGGAGTCGCCCCAGCACACGTCGGCGCCGTCCTCGCCCTCGGCGCACGTCATGTTGACCGTGATGACGTAGCCGATTAGCTGGCTCTGGCAGGCGTCGCGGCTCAGCAGGGTCATGTTAACCGTCTGCAGGGCGGTGGGGTAGACAGGCTGGCCGGTGACCGGGTCCACGCCGGCGGCGCCCCAGCCGGCCACCGAGCACGCCGCTGCGGACAAGGGCAGGGGCTCAGCCAGGAGGCGGGGGGCGACGGAGGTCAGCGACAACGGACACGCATCCGCGGCGGGATCGGGCAGCGCTCAATGATCGCATCACAGGTGGGCACCAAATGATCGCAGATTTCGGCGCGCCAAGTACCATCATCACCTGTAGCATGGTGGGGTCGAATCGCTTTAGACGCTCGCTATTGGCCCTCGACAGATTTGGCCTGCGGCCGCTGACAGGGACCGCGCTTAAGGTCAGGTGGCGTCAGAGGGCAGGACGGGTGGGGCCCCATGACCCAATGTGACACTACATGGACTCAGCTTGGCCAGCATTGCCGATTTAGGGCTCGAACGGGCCACCTGACGAATATAACTTCAGGAAGAGGAAGTAGGTCAAACAGACTTCTCTCGTTGCATGTTTAGTAGATATAACGTCTTACAGCATGGCAGTTGGTACATCGAACATGGATACAAGCGACCATAAGGGCTTTCACAGAATTGTGGAATTCTATGTGAGTGGAGAGACAAGTCATGTGCATCGTTTAATAACTTAATTAAACGATACGCATAAATCATATTTGTCTTTGTTGTGATTGCCCTGCATAACTGCGGCCGTGTGGTGCTGAGAGAGGCTGTTACGGGCTCAGAGACGGCTCAAAATGCGGAACGCACTCCCAGGCTGAAATTTCATAAGGAAAACGCTTTCTTATTGGCAGAAGTGAATAGATGTGTTCAAAACAGGGGAGTTAAAATTGTAAAATATTGGTTTGAGTGTCATTCCAATAGGTTACAAATGATTGCCTATTTTAAAGGTTATAAAAAACATATCGGTGTGTTGCTTTTGCCAGCGGTGTCTGTGGAAATGCTCGAAAGCCAATTGTTTTGCCACTGAAATTCTCCTATTATAACAATTTTGGTTTGTTAACACAGATCGCTTACGAGAACAAGATGTATCCGCTTCGGTCCATCTGACTTCGCACCTTCGTTACATTTTGTTAGACACATGCAAAACGATGTAACGATGGACGAGTCGCCGTAGCGGACGCTAGAATATCGGTGAGATCGCCGTATCCGAACGTTGGCATCCCATCCATGCTGTCTGTCAATACCCTTCTCCGTGCTGTTATATGTCTCTGGAATGTCGTCGCTCATGTGCATGATGCCAGCTGCCCGTAAAGCAGGAAACCATGACCACATTGTTCAATGTCTGACTTCGAAAGACCAATTTATCGGCTCCCTGCCTCCCCCTCCCTTTTCCCAATTGCATTGTCTGGTGTCGTCCCCATACGTCGAATTTTGCAATTTATGTATCTGTACAGGATGTGTGACCTGCAAGTATTTGTTACCACAACGTTCTCATGAACTCTAGCAATAATTGTTTCCACAACTCGTTCAGCCTAGCTTAGGAACTTAGACCTCAAAGTCCTCCCCTGTGGTTCCTGGATCCGTCCCCGACTGTTCACACGCATCACATATCACCTGCACTCCTGGATCCGTCCCTGACTGTTCACACGCATCACATATCACCTGCACTCCTGGATCCGTCCCTGACTGTTCACACGCGTCACATATCACCTGCACTCCTGGATCCGTCCCTGACTGTTTACACGCATCACATATCACCTGCACGTGACTAGCCATGTTGGAATTACCGTTTCTAACTTACTGCAGTGAAATTTCGGCCGAGTATAGTCAAATAACCCTGAACGACATATTCGCCTAGAGCATCCTGTGATCCTTCCTGGCATACCCCTAGAAAACGTTCCAATATGGTGTACGACAGCCTCTGAAAGGTGTAGGGGGTTGAAAATTTCATAGGCTGTCAAATTATTTTAGAAACACACCCATTATCTAGCCGTAGTGGTTTATAGGGGCACCATAAAAACACCAGAAGTGGAGTTGATATGGCTTCCCCATGTGGGATAGTTAAGCCTTCAGGGAACCGAGACAGTGATATTTGATGAATGCATTTCATAAGCCATCTTCCCGCCCACGCTTCTTACCTAGGATGCTCTCAGGCCGTGGCAAAACTGCCCCCATGTCCAGTCTTTGAGTTGCAATAGATGCCGAAAGAACGATGAATTATTCAGTGCAGCGATATGTAGAATACGTAAGATAGATTTTAATAACGCAATACAACACAAGGTTTAACACTTACAATATGGAACAACTACCAATAAATAACAGTAGGAAGCATCAAGCGGCTATGGATGGACGGCTGTGTTTGCTTCATGCAAATATTCAATCGGCTGTAAAGCGGATGCTAGGTGGTTTTGAGCTTATGAGCACGCTCAAAGCCTCCGCTTGACAACCCAAGCTTCGGATGTCGACAAAGCATAATCAGCAAGGATGCCAGAATCTGATCGGAGCTCACCTGTTCACTGATTAGTTCATGTCAACATGACAGCTGACCGCGATTTGACGTTATCAAGCAATATTTAATGTCAGGATAATTTAGACAAGCATATGAACACCAGGAGCGTCTTCGGCAGATCATGATAAGACGAAATGTTCCCAATGGAGTTATGGCGCCAAGCGCCGCAGGCACGCCTTTTGGAGACGCCGGACTAGTCGGGACAGATTTGACAGCCGGTAGCAGGCAGAACTTCGCCCTTTGCTGACGCGATAACGAACTGGATCGGTCACCGGGCACTCACACCACTCCAAACTCACTCTGGGTAATCCGATGACGAAGTTTGGCGGCGGGGATGTCATCCACAGTGTCCTCCGGGCGGTTCGCCAACTTTCTAAGTCATCGGCGGTCATTTGCAGAAACAGAGCTTACGTGGTCTCAAGAGAAATGTGGTCGTGCCGGGCTAGATACGAGGCGGATGGCCACTTCAACGAGCACTCTCAGGAGCTCAGATTGCCGCTAATAAGGGGTTAGGCTGCTAAGTCGCGTTTACATCGAACAAACACACTGTCAGTCCATTCAGTGTATGTGCCTTAAAGTTCTCGGAAACACTGATTAGTTCAAATTAACAGCTGTCTACTTAAACAGAGGTGGACATATTTCGCCACGTGAATAGGTGTACAGCTCGTTCGCGAGTACAGATCCGTCTGTCAAGGAAATTAACAGCTGTCTACTTAAACAGAGGTCGACATATTTCGTCACGTGAATCGGTGTACAGCTCGTTCGCGAGTACAGATCCGTCTGTCAAGGAAATTATCAGCTGTCTACTTAAAAAGAGGTCGACATATTTCGCCACGTGAATCGGTGTACAGCTCGTTCGCAAGTACAGATCCGTCTGTCAAGGAGGCAAGCGTTGCAGGAATCTAGCAAGCTGCATGATTTCTAATGAACATGCCTGCGCGTCATTTATTTGGCTTTATTAGTCACCAATCGCGCGGGTTTTGGGAAAGCTTTAGTGGTCATGTAAAGCTCGCCAACCGTGCGGACTCAGGGATGCTTCGCTTTGTTGTGTAATTTGGAAGTGTAGCACCTTATTTAGGCCTGCTTTGATCTTGTAGCAACCATAGCTCTATTTGATGCTTGTAAACGTGTTCATGACAGTCTGTTTCTGCTCGCGTGCCAGCTGCTTTGCTACATCGACCACTGACTCTCCGCAAATGTTCCCTGTTCTCATTGCACATTCCATTCGGTGCAATGGCCAAACATCTGTATGCTTCCTCCCCGGTTGTATGCTTCCTCCCCGCTTGTATGCTTCCTCTCCGGTTATATGCTTCCTCCCCGGTTGTATGCCCGTTTCCCTTAACCCCGCTCACTGTTGCTTGTGTTCGTGATCCTTCGCCGACTAGTTTGCTGTCAGCCCCGTGCGGCTGCACCAGCTGTCCAGCCCTGAGGCAACCGCTCTTACCAACTGAGCTATCGGGACGGACTAACCAGCTTACAAGTATGAACACTTGGAGCGGTGCAAGACCTAACCGTAAAGGTGGCGGCAACGCTTGATTGTTAGTAGGGTGGGGCTATTGTAGAACTTCATATGTAACGCCGCATTTCAGAATAATTGAGATGACACGCTGCTCCCCCTTTTTGCTACGCCCTGGTCTTATCAGTGGTGAGAGAGAGAGTGAGAGATGAATAAAGATGGTGAGAGAGAACAGAAGCTCACAGAAGCTGGAGTCATCTCTGGCCAGCTTTGCCCCCCCCCCCCTTGTCCCATCGGTGGTGAGAGAGTGAGAGATGAACAGAGATGGTGCGAAAGAACGGAAGCTCACAGAAGCTGGAGCCATCTCTGGCCAGCTTTGCTCCTCCCTGGTCCCATCGACGGTGAGAGAGAACAGAAGCTCACAGAAGCTGGAGTCATCTCTGTCCAGCTTTGCCCCTCCCTGGTCCCATCGATGGTGAGAGAGAACAGAAGCTTACAGAAGCTGGAGTCATCTCTGGCCAGCTTTGCCCCTCCCTGGTCCCATCGATGGTGAGAGAGAACAGAAGCTCACAGAAGCTGGAGTCATCTCTGGCCAGCATAACCCCTCCCTGGTCCCATCGGTGGTGAGAGAGAACAGAAGCTCACAGAAGCTGGAGTCATCTCTGGCCAGCTTTGCTCCTCCCTGGTCCCATCGATGGTGAGAGAGAACAGAAGCTCACAGAAGCTGGAGCCATCTCTGGCCAGCTTTGCCCCTCCCCTTGTCCCATCGGTGGTGAGAGAGTAAGAGATGAATAGAGATGGTGCGAAAGAACAGAAACTCACAGAAGCTGGAGCCATCTCTGGCCAGCTTTGCTCCTCCCTGGTCCCATCGATGGTGAGAGAGAACAGAAGCTCGCAGAAGCTGGAGTCATCTCTGGCCAGCTTTGCCCCTCCCTGGTCCCATCGGTGGTGAGAGAGAACGGAAGCTCACAGAAGCTGGAGTCATCTCTGGTCAGCTTTGCCCCTCCCCCTGGTGCCATCGGTGGTGAGAGAGAACAGAAGCTCACAGAAGCTGGAGTCATCTCTGGCCAGCTTTGCCCCTCCCTGGTCCCATCGGTGGTGAGAGAGAACAGAAGCTCACAGAAGCTGGAGTCATCTCTGGCCAGCTTTGCCCCTCCCTGGTCCCATCGGTGGTGAGAGAGGACAGAAGCTCACAGAAGCTGGAGTCATCTCTGGTCAGCTGGATGGCAGTCACCCGCTCGTTGAACACGGCCGGGGTCTCCAGCTGAAGCAGAGCGATGTCGTTCGGCAGCGCGGCGCTGAAAACAGGGGCGAGTCACTCACATTACGGCTGTACCTGATGAAACAAACAGGCGCGCGGTCCCGCGCGGTCACCAGCTATGTTACTTACTAGGGTTTGAAAACCATTACGGTGTCCTCTAATGGGAGCATGAAGCGCACCGCAGAAAACTTGAGTGATAGTTACATATGACGACTCAAGAGCCAAGAGTCAGTATGATATGACCACGAAAGCTTGAGTCACATAGTCCTTTAATAAGCACCATCTCAATCAATATCGCTGGAGAACCCATCTTAAAGCAGCGAAATCTTTTAGGGACAATATATCAAGCTTAGACTTGCACTTTGCGTCAAACTTTTGGGAACCCAGGGAGCGTTCAAGCCTCCCACCGGACTTGTGCTTGACAAAGCCTCAGCGTAATCGGCCTTGACTCTGACCCGCAGAGCACGGATTATTCTCACTCGAACTGGCTACACAACACATACTTTTTTATCATTTATCGCACATGAAAGGTGGCAAGAAATGCCTGCTGCTTCTTACCGCGATGCTCAGAACCAAACATCAGTGCACCGCATTATGAACTGAATGGTGCGATGCCGCAAAAATGTCTTCCAAAAGTGCAAAAGCTGCTATGCAAACAGAATCAAAGGGCAAGGAACAAGATCAGACATTTGCCGTTCATTGGTGGTAATGGGTGGCTGCTTGTAGGCTAAAAATGAAATGATCGCTTGGACTGTCACCCTCGTCTGATGTTTTAGTATGCATATGGGTGTATTCAAATACTAACACAAGGGATGAGGAGCATGGATCAAGCAGCTCTTCCACGAGAGCGAGAGAGAAAGAGAGAAAGAGAGAGAGAGAGAGAGAGAGAGAGAGAGAGAGAGAGAGAGAGAGAGAGAGAGAGAGAGAGATAGAGAGAGAGAGAGAGAGAGAGAGAGAGAGAGAGAGAGAGAGAGAGAGAGAGAGAGAGAGAGAGAGAGAGAGAGAGAGAGAAAGGGAGAGAGGGTCTCACCATCCTATAAAATGCAATTAGGTTCGGCCATCTAAGACCAATATGGGTGAAATACGTCGAGGTAACGATCTTCATGATATGTGTATTATGTTTTAACTGCTGTTATTTTGTTTCACAATGTCCTGTGTTATATCAGGAGGCATTTAGTACAGCTTGACCAGCGCTATCCAGCATGGCCAGTTTTGGTTTCTGAGCTCGCTTGCTTACTGGGAAAGGAGGGTAAGGTTCACTCACATCAGCCCGACCCTTTGGCCCGACTTGATATGTCACAGATCGTATCCGCTGATGGTCCATCACTGCTTGATATGTCACAGATCGTATCCACTGATGGTCTATCACTGCTTGATATGTCACAGATCGTATCCACTGATGGTCTATTACTGCTTGATATGTCACAGATCGTATCCGCTGATGGTCTATCACTGCTTGATATGTCACAGATCGTATCCGCTGATGGTCTATCACTGCTTGATATGTCACAGATCGTATCCGCTGATGGTCTATCACTGCTTGATATGTGACAGATCGTATCCGCTGATGGTCTATCACTGCTTGATATGTCACAGATCGTATCCGCTGATGGTCTATCACTGCTTGATATGTCACAGATCGTATCCGCTGATGGTCTATCACTGCTGTATATGATGTGCCATGGACGTGGCTCATACAGAGATGCAAATAGGAGTGGAGCCTAACCGTAATCATTGTACCCCGACGACCAGGCCAGATCTATCGCTTTCCGCCGGTCCGCCTCTGTTTCCCGGCTCGCTTTCCGCTGGGACCTTGGCGTGCTTGGTTTTCGAGAAAGCGGGGAAGCTAGGAAGTGACACCGCGTCTGCGCACGGTCAGAAAATAACACACCAGGGGGGGGGGGGGGGGGGGGTTCAAATGAACCACTCTCAAGCCGTTTTACATATCCGACGCGACGGTGTAGGTTTGACAGACCATCGCGCGTTTAACTTTATGTACACGATACATTAAGGTATACAATTACAATACAGTACAATACAATTTATCACAATGTAATGCTTTAAGGTATACTTAGACTGTTTTGCGCATATCTCACCCGCGTATAACTATTATTAGCACCGCAATGCAGTTCTCTGCATATCACGCGGGCTCAGTGCCAATGACGGAATATCACAGTGCTATATGTTATAACACAAACAGTATATTTGGCCTAAGGCGTCCCAGCAGCCAGCACCTGGCACTGCACATAGCTGGGGATGGTGAAATACCGGCTCGGTAAGTGGGCCCGAGCCCACGACACGCCACGCGCTCACGGGCAAACGCTCTAATCAAGTGAGATACGGCTCGCTCGGCTTGCTACCCACTTGCACTGAGAACGCTCGTCATATGATTTATGGCGGTGATAATGAGCCCAACTCCTCAGCACTCAAGCCGTTTCGAGGAAGTCAGACTCAGACCGCTTTAGTTCCCAATTGCTCTTCTGCTAAGAGTCGATTATGCTGCTGCTGAGACTCTCAACTTTGCCTGAAGATCAGCGTGATGTCCATAACTTGGCATACACTGCGCTAATCAGACCAAGCGGAGTCGCATGCAACCGACAGCCTAGCAGCTGCAAGATCTCGAGCTGTGCCAGTCATTAGAAAAGCTCTAGAAAATAATAAAGGAACTGCAGCTTTGTTCCAACTACCGGGAAAAGCAATTTAATAAACGAGACAGACGCAACAGACGGATGAAGCTGCGCAACTGATGCACTCTAGCTATCGGAGCGTTTTCACCGGGCCGCGCAACCGTACAGACAAGCACCGTTTGCCCTCGTCGTTTTCAGTCCGCGTCGTTCTTAGTCGGCGCCAAGGTGAATTGCACAGGCAATGACCGAGCAGGTCTGACTCGCTGAAGCCGCACAAGTGCGCTGTTCACCGAATGCCCCCAGGCAGTCGAGGGTACTCGGCCTAGAACCCCGATCGCCGGCGTCGACTGCGTTAGTTAATTGGTGACGGCCTTTGTGAGCGCGCGAAAGTTAGCGGGCGGTGCTCGGGCAGTGGTTACCGCCGGAACTTCTGGGGGCCCAGCCAGCGGCTGCCCCCGCCGGGGTCGCTATTGATCGCAAGCCGGGCTGCCGCGGTGCTCACCAGCGCTGCTGCGCTTCTGCACGATTGGATGACGCTTTTGCCGGGTGGCTTTGTCAAGTGTTACGAAACGCTGCCGGCGGCCGGAAGCTGAACTGTCTGCAGCGCGCGCTAGCACCGAACAGCGAAGCCGGGCTGGGCTGTCGCGCACACCATGCACGCCTTTATTGCATGGAGCTCAAGATTGTCAGCGATGGCCTTGATGATCTTAACAGACTCGGAATAATCTTACCCGTCGCGGGACGGAGATTCCTCTCCGAGTTTATGGGACGATGAGGATTGTGGACGCGCTCAGCACACCCACTGATACTGCGTGACCATTGGTGCCGGGCGCCGCGGCCAGTCGTTTACCGCGTACTGAAGTCGGGCTCGATCACCACCTTCTTGATTGAGCTGATCTGCTCAAACTCGTCGTGCAGGGCGATGTCGTGCTCTCCCATCACTATCTGGAGCAGCAGGAGGGCGGCGGTGCTGTCGCATCCCAATGTCAACTTCGCGTCTTACTCACAGCTGTTGTAGAAACAGTCCTACTGATTTTGTCATGCGGCAATTTTGGCACCAAAACACTGCAAACAGCACCATGTGTGTGTCGGACAGATGCAACACAGTTCCCATGCCAACTTGTTATGTTGATTAAGATGCGGCGTGACGTGGCTTCAGGAGTTTTCGCAGAGGCATATATGTCTTCTGGGACATTTGCAGCTCTTTTCTGCCCGGCGATTTAAAGCAGTCGATGAAACAAAATAATGTAATGCATGCCTTTAGCACATGCACTTATGCGTGTATTCCATCTGCATTTTACAGTAATCTCTAAGGAGCAAGCCATGTCATAACCCATCTGAAGCTTGCCATCAAATAACAGTTACATAGCTGCTGCTTGCGGGTTTTGAACAATCCCATCAATCGGAAAAATTGCGATGGTTGGTTTCATCGTGGATAAAGAGAGTGACATACGTTTGAGGACACTATTAAATGGGAATTACAGGCAATTAATATTAGGGCTATTCCAGCAAATCAAATCCCCCAAGTGAACCTAGAACTGCTTATCATGATCCCTCCGATTCGGAAGAAATTTGACACGCGTACTAGCCTCATCACAGATGAAGCTCCTGCGATTGTTATGCTTTTAGGTCACATGGGTCACGATATAGAGGTCATGACGCATTCGGATTCATCCGGAAAGTTTGGTGATGAAGTAGTTTCAATTTATAGAATGGCTGCTAGGAATTGATGAAAGCTGCACATTATTTGAAAGCAGATGACTTTTTGCACCCAATGCAGGTATACGTGAGCAATCCAAGTCAAGTTTTGCTCCCGTGACCTCATGACATTTTCTTGCATCCATGACCCCTTAAAATATTTTTCAACTTTCCCCAAAGGATGTGCAGCGAATTGTCTGAATGATTATATGCAGTTTTCTATGTAATGCCGGCTCCGTGACGTGCCATCGGCGTCAACATTTGCCGCCGTGGTATGGGCCTGTTCATGTGTTCGGTGAGTGTGGCACGAAACATACCGAAATGGGTATCACATCAGAACGCGTGGCCGGAAGTAACAGCTGGTCTGATCCTGAACAGTGCTTGTAGGCTGTAGCTAGCTGATAAGAGTGTCATTTTAAAGGCCTTTTTAAGAAAAATGAGGAGTGCATGATACAGCTTGCTACATGAGTTGAAATAGATGCAGGCATAGCTTTTGGCGTTCTAGCACTACGATCCATAACAATTCTGCTGTCGGAAAGGCTGGCACCGGCTTGCATGTCATTAAGATGCAGGTACGCCAGAACTGGCAGATGAATTGTTCGTTCTGCAGCCGGCTGGGTCGATTGCCGAGGTAAAGTTTCTGGAGACGTGTGTATTTCTGCTTTGGGAGGAAGAAAAATGCGTCCGTGGCCGAATCCTTGCACAACGTGGCTAAGTAGGCCATGCTGTATACCATATGATCGCAGAAGTGGCACTGGCTGGTGGTGGCGTTGTCCGTCTGGATCACCAGAATCTCGAGCTCCAGACCGCAGCTCTTGGAATTAGCGGGCTAGATATGCAGCCTTTGGTGATAAATAGCGTCTGCGACATAACAGGCAAAAATGAACGGCATGTTGAAGTATGCGAAGTATCCCGATGAGAAAAGAGTGAACGGACAACTGTATAGCCTAGGCAATGTGAATGTTAATGCATTAACAGAATATGTTCGGTTGAAGTGTGTTCCGGTTGATCGGTGCGCCTCAGTTGACATTGCTCTCCTGGTAGCCGAGCTTGTGATCTCGCCCAGTGAGCCTGGTAGCCGAGCTTGTGATCTCGCCCAGTGAGCCTGGTAGCCGAGCATGTGATCTCGCCCAGTGAGCCTGGTAGCCGAGCTTGTGATCTCGCCCAGTGAGCCTGGTAGCCGAGCTTGTGATCCCGCCCAGTGAGGCGGAGCGCGTGCGCCTCAGTTGACATTGCTCTCCTGGTAGCCGAGCTTGTGATCTCGCCCAGTGAGGCGGAGCGCAGGTGACGCGTCACCACTCTGTGGCCGAGACACAACCCCAGTTATACACGCAGCTACACGATCCTGTTGCCGGCTGTGAGGCGGTGCTGGTCGGTTTTTTTGGAACACTTTACATTTGTTCTACCAGACGTAGCCCGGAGGTTTTACTGGTGCGACGCTAAGACCACGCTGCAACTATTTTTGTACTTTGCACGAGGGATAGTCAACAAGCTTTTGTGCGGTATTCGACTTCCTCGTGAACAACGCAGCTGGAGGGGCAGCATCTCACTCTGCTTTTGATACCGCGCGTATAAGTCTGCTTTGATATACACTTATGAGCGTACGTTTATCCAAGCCTACAAAAACTGCGCTCCTTTTCAGACGGATGCTGAAGGCATTATGCGAAGATATTTAACTTTGGAATTATTCGTGGCCATGAGATAGTTTCGCGCTTCTACGTAGGTGGTCTTCCTTTGCTATCTTGCATGACGAAATGCATACGACGGCATCGATGAGTTTGTCAAGCGAGCGGCATAATGTGCTCGCTTCCAACGGGCCGATGAAACATAAAATATTCAGCCCAAATACCTTCTTAGGGTACGCACGACTTGACGTGTCACCGTATGCAGGGCTTGCGTAATTGCCGCCAATGACTAGATGTGCTTTGCTACGTGCACTTGTAAAGTTTCCACATGAAATTATGCGCCAAGTGCGTGCAAATATTTCCTGCGCTCATGTATTATGTGTAATGCATGGCACCATATGCGCCGGTTTACCTACTATAAGATGCTTCTGCTGCGAGAGCAAATGTGTAGGAATCATAACATTGAAACACTTTGCATAAAAAGGGTGTCAATCTGTCAGTCTTTTTTTAGTAAGTCAATAATCTTCGCTTTGCTTCTTTGTTGGCCAATATCATTTGGCAAACATAGCTTTTTGCAACTTGCAGCAAAAATAAAGCATTGACATCAATGGGATCACGGGTAAGACTTCCTTTAACGAATTCGTTCCCTCCACATTCAACCCAGTTGGACAAGACCGTCATCCATCCGTTTGCATTCACTTGAGTTAGAGGTTATGGAGAGGTTTCATTAAAATTCACACCCAAACTTGGTCTGTTGTCTTGATAGCATAATACGCAGCGTAAAATAAGCTTTGTGACTAAAAAGCGCAGGAAATGACTTTTCTTACTATTTCGTGAAGTATCTGTCTCCCACGTCATAAACGTTTCACTTGGTGGTTCCATTCACCTGGTTTACCCCCGCAACGATACACGTAATTTTCTCAAGATCTGTACCCAACCCATCTGGTGACCCATTCCATGTCAGTACCCATGGGTTTTCCATTCCATTGAGCCCTCAAAATGTCACCACATGACACATAGCAGCACAGCAGCAGCCTACATTTCCGGACTGCACTGTAAGGCTCGCAGGTGTTTGTGATGAACTGATGTAGTCGGTTACACCGTGGTTACATTTAAACCGCCTGGTTCCGTGTTCAGCGTTCTGTGCCATAGGATGCCATTACAATAATTCCTGTGCCCGCGAGATACAATATTTCACCTGTATCCACCGCTGCAGGTCAGGTTATTGACAGGCACGCGCCCACGTATCTCTTACATGTTCCAAGATATCACCAACGCATTGATTGGACGGCGAGCTTTCAAACAGTATTCATATCTACCATGTTGCTTCCACACGCACTGACGGTATTCAAAGACTATAGCATGACCTCACTCTCCCCCTCGGTGACACAGCGCGGGGTCAGCAGGTCAAAGAAAACTTCATCTCGCCCGTCCGATAGCTGGGCTGGCTAGAGCGCCTGTCTTGCGATCTGCCCACTCGTGACAGGTGGGTTGATTTAGGCGCGCGCCATTTGCCCTTGACTGGAATGACCCGCGGCCGGTGGCAGTGAGCGCGCTAAAGGTCAGGCGAGATCAGAGGGTAGGACGGACCGTGCCGAGCAGTGCAACGCATTATACTTTGGCTACCAAATTCACCGTTGGCCTGGAATTTCAGAATCGGATGAAGGGACTCAGAGTTCACGTAGTACGCGCTGCTTAGCATGGCTCTGATGCCATTTATCAATTCGATGAAAAGTTGCAGATATATCTTTCAAAAGTTATCACGCAGACAATGTGCTAGAAAGTTTTTAATGAGAAATAAAATCACTGAAAAAGGTCATATATGAAAGAAAAGATTAAGAGGTCACGGGGTCAGAAGAGGACCGGGAATGGTCATAAGTATCACTTAATGAATGCAACGGATAATCCTATTTCTAATGATATGCTGGCGCCATCAAATCAAGTGACGTCTATGTCTAAGTGACAACTAACCGAAAAACTATATCTAAGTATTCGGTGACCTATAGATCGTGGCCGATGTGACCAAACCAATCCAAAATTACATGAATATAATGTGGGGTGTCAATATACCTATGTGCGAAAATTGGATCCAAATCGGAGAGATCATGGTGAACATGCCTTGGCAATTTGCTGCAGAATAGCCCCATGTGTAACATATGGAACAGAAATTAAATGTGATAACATCGATCGGCCAAAGCTTCTTACAGACACACGCTATCAGCCGTGTTCCGAGCTCTGGTCCAGGCAAAACGATCGGCAAATAGCCTGGACTAGCTTCACATTCTCGTCTGAAACTTACCCGGAGGTCGGCCGACGGCATGGTTGACACGCAGTGGGCGGCAGTGATGACCCAGTTTGGGTCAATCAGGGATCCTGCGCACTTGCTCTGACCTGTGTCAATGACCTGGATGTCGACAAGCCACGGGAACTGTCCTGGAGTCGGCGCCCAGTTGCCGTTATCAAATACGACTTACACTGTGACATAAATCGGCCATGCAGTTCATGACCCACGCGAATCCGGATGGTCCATTTCAGACACTGGATAGTTGCATTTCAGACACTGGATAGTTGCAGCTCGTAGGCTGCAAGCCCTGCAGGAATGCTTCATCTGTGCTCTGGGCATATACTTGATGCAAACTGTGGCAGGCAAGCCAGCAACCATCGTCTGGCAAGTGGTTAGTTGAAACTAACATACAGTCTGACCACCAGGGAATTATTCCGTTGAAATCGATTACTTGAAGCTTTTGGGCAAAATGTGGCCGTGCATAAACCTGTGTTCTACATATCTCTCAGCATTCCCCGGCACTAGTAAGTTGCTTGTTCAAAGCAATATCCGATGTTCACCCTACATTTCCGAGCGCAACTGCTGTATGACACACATTGCTTATTTGCACCAGTCCCATAATTTAGCAGTCCCACACTCGTGCAGGGAGCTGCCGGCGGACTCTATGTTGACAATAGCACAGGGTGCCCTCGCCGTTTAGTGCGTGATTCAGCGACACATTGCACGATTCCCACAGAGTGGTGTCGATCTCATTTACAACATCATTGCGCTGCTGTCTATCCCATAATTCAGTCTGTAGGTGGTCGCGCGTGCCAGAGCATCGATTGATATTGACCTCTTGTCAGCAGCGCAGTGTGAGCCGCCCTTTGTTTGAACCCAGTCAGGATGATGTCGCCGCTCATCACATCCGTGTCCACCAGACACGGCTGGACGGCAGGCCATCGACGTGTGATTACGGTGTGCTTGACATCTCTGGCATCGGAAACGTCTTTCAAGCCGAGCAATTCCAATGTACGAGACCGCGACGGTAACAAGATCACGCGAGGATCGCTGGGGTCACGCTAGCGTCTGTGGGGTCACACACGATGCCACGGAATCGAGAGGGAACCGGCAGGTTACGGCCACCTGACCCGTGGAGCTGAGGAACGACTAGCAGGGTCACGAGAATGCCGGGGTCACCCGAGGACAGACAAGGTCAAGCTGAGGAGGTCCGTGTCACGGCAAGACCCGCGGGGTCACGGGCGGATAGGCGGACCACTGGAGGACTGGAAGGGTCGGGAGGTCGCGCCCGCAGACTGGCGGCCACTGCAGCTCTCCCTTGGCTCCGGCTCAGCCGATCATCGAGCCGATTGACGGCACCGTGAAATTGCACCCGCTCGGGCCGGATCGGCGTGGGACCGTCTCACCGGTCTGCGGATAACCACCGCTCGAACCTGGGAGCCGCAGCATCGGCGAACTGGGGAACTGAGTCTGAACTGTTCCCGGCAAGGGCGCGCCCGGGTCGCGGTCAGCTTGACCCTGGTCTGATCGCCCGGATCGCGGTCACGGTCAGCTTGACCCTGGTCTGATCGCCCGGATCGCGGTCAGCTTGACCCTGGTCTGATCGCCCGGGTCGCGGTCAGCTTGACCCTGGTCTGATCGCTCGGGTCGCGGTCAGCTTGACCCTGGTCTGATCGCCCGGGTCGCGGTCACGGTCAGCTTGACCCTGGTCAGCTTCACCGCCTTTCATAACGCAGGCTGATGAGAAGGGTGTGACCTCTTCTGGCGTTTCCAAACTTATAAAGATAGAACTTAGTGGAAAACATCAGTGAATTGTTCCCAACGAGATCTTGCGATTGGTACTATTTGTATACTGGCAAGTCAATGGTTGAACCCGTATGCCAGATCTGATGCTGATTTCAAAAATCACACTTTTTCAGCTTTACATTACACATACGAGACCATACATCGCGGCGACACAAAACCTATACATACGCATTTTGGGCCAAATTCTGAATACAATAGTGTATACTGTTATGTGTTTTGAGCATGTAAGTATGATGTATGGTCCCATTAATGTAACACTGTTGCCTCGTCGCGTGCGTTCCGCGGCACCGTCGGCTGCCGCCAGCCGTCCTTGCCGGCCTTTTAAAACACACACCGCAATGGATGCCCCATTCGTTACTGAAGACTGGACGGCTGTGCAGCATATCGGAGGAGAAGCATCCTTAATGAGTCTTGGGGGCGAGGGGGTCGTATCGAACCCTCTCCCCCTATCACGGCGAGGATCAAGAGCTCATGTAACCTGGTCCTTCAGAACAGTACCGGCCTGCTGTAAACTGGAGAGGCTAAAGCGACCAGGCCCCAGAAATACCCCGACAAACAACTGACAAACTTACGGATCGATCTGGTTTCGTAGAACACAGCCCCGGTTAACTGTGGAGCTCGGTATGGAGGAGCTCGGTACGGAGGAGCTAGGTACGGGGGAGCTCGGTACGGAGGAGCTCGGCACGGAGGAGCTCGGCACGGAGGAGCTCGGTACGGAGGAGCTCGGTACGGAGGAGCTCGGTACGGAGGAGCTCGGCACGGAGGAGCTCGGCACGGAGGAGCTCGGTACGGAGGAGCTCGGTACGGGGGAGCTCGGTACGGGAGAGCTCGGTACGGGGGAGCTCGGTACGGAGGAGCCCGGTACGGAGGAGCTTGGCACGGAGGAGCTCGGCACGGAGGAGCTCGGTACGGAGGAGCTCGGTACGGAGGAGCCCGGTACGGAGGAGCTTGGTACGGAGGAGCTTGGTACGGAGGAGCCCGGTACGGATTGGGCCCTGAGTCAGATTCTCCGCACCTCAGGGCTTGATGCTAGCCAATCCTGGAAGGCGCTATTGGCCGGTGGCATGAGCGCTCTGTCCGGACTGCCACCGTAACCGGTCGTTGTCTATTTAACGTCAAGCTGCGCTAAACAGGCTCGTTTGTATGCAATCTGGTTGAGCGGATTAACAGAAAACATCTATTGCAGCGTAGAGCTTTCTATATCTTAAGTGATATATTCTTACTGCACATTCTTTTCGCCCATGGCCTGCGAGCACCCACGGGTGCCACTTTTATGCTAACTATGCCAATTATTACGCATAAGTGTACATATGCTTTTAAATAAGTCGTCAGTTTGACACATGCAATACTACATTCACCTGAGCGTGCAGTTGCGTCCATCTTCTGCCTGTTGTGCCATCAGCTGGATACGCATGCAAGAATTGACACCCTTCCATTCCATACGGACGTACCCAGGCCCGAAGTATACAACCAGTCATCGCTGCCCATTAATTGTATATTACCGGTTCCTGACTCCCTAACCTCTGGCCTCGAACCCCCGAATGACCACTGACCGTTGACCACTGGTCCCCGACCACTGACTCCTGACCACTGTCTCCTGACCACCGTCAGGAGTCAGTGATCTCATTGACATCGCTGGCTGACACTGACATCGACACCGACACCGACAACTGAGATTCATGACTACCGACACTGACCACTGCTCACTGACCGGGCTTGGCGGCGCCGCCGTTCATGATGCCGAGAGTGCCGTGGCTGCCGTGACTGCCGTGGCTGTGCAGACCGGGTACGCGGATGGGCCTCTCTGGCGGCGCGTCCCAGGGCCGCACGACTGGCGGCAGGGCCAGCTCTGGCGCCGGGTCATGCACCGTCGCCACTGCAACGGCGCACACAGCAGGCTGGCGTCACCGCGGCCGGCTGTATCCAGAGAGGCGGTCCCTCTGTCGCCCACGGGGCGGACGTGAATCGTACAGCGTGCGAGAGCATCTAGGGCGAGAGCAGCGCTGTTCGGCGTGAGACTGCCATGTTCCCGCGGCTGGACGGTGGTCATCATCGTGGCTAAACAAAATGCAGCCTTTCAGTCACCAAATCCATGCCGGGAGATATTCGTTTGCTGCCGATAGCAGTGGGCCAGGGTCCGAACGTCTGAGCAGAGGTGAACTCCCGAGCGCACGTGCAGTGCTGTAAACGCCTATAGCCTGAGTGAAATCATCAATAAGGTAGAGCTTTATGAATGCCTCCCTTACTGGCCCCTGGCTCCGGTCGTCCCGAGTGAAGCTAAGATCAGATTCTTGCGCTTGGCCCACGGGACAGCATTATAACTTTCATGCTGCATTCATGCAGCATCAAATGCGGCGTGGTTTATCGGCCCGTGCACAATAGCCGCCGGATAAAGATGCAATGCAAGCAAGCTTAGCAGTTAGCGATACCTCGCAACGTGACAATTGAGAAGAGTTCCCACAGGCGCAGAATGCTGAGGGCATACCTAGGAGTCGTCTTTTCATTATGAAAACTGACTGACACCCTTTTGAGCGCATGCCTGTGTGCGCGCGCCTGCGTGTGTTATAAAGCAGCATTTGATGCCAACTGTTACGCTTTGTCTACACTGATTCACACCAGCCGGTGCACATTCCTGCATGCATGCACATTCCTTCTAGCATGATCTGCCTGTACTGACACTCAAAGCGCTGACGAACTCACCGACGTAGACCAGGCCAAATATGGTGCACAGAAGGAGCAGCATGGCCATGGTGCGAAGCGCAATCTTCCTGAAGTAGTACTGAAACCAACCGGCGGAGTTAGCCCATTACCGTCGCGGTGCCGCCGGTCACACCGTGCACCGGGACAACAACAGATGCCGGGCTTTCCACCAGTAGCTGCCGGCTGCAGCCGAGCGCCCCGCCCAGAGGCAGCATCACCTGGCTCTCTCCCATGGGTGTGGGGAGAGGGCAGGCACGGGGCGCGCTATCGGCGCCGTCTCACCTGCCTTGTCCGGGCCGGCCGGGCTCCGCTCGGATCGGCCGGCTGCTCGCCCACGGCCACGGGCTGGTACCGCACACCACCCTCGGCGTCGCCCTCTGTCGCCGCCGCCATTGATGACCGGGGTCAGCTATTGCACGTGCCCCGCTCCTGGTCCGGCGCGCCGGCCCCGCTCCGTCTCAGGTCCACTCCGCGACTCCACGCCGCCGCTCCTTATCGGCACGCGGCGCACCTTGATAAGGCCAGAGATCGGCAGAGGCACGTCACGGCGGGCTGCTTCCGGCGCCGGACCCCGACCCAAAGCGCTGTCGCAGCCGCGACCCCGCTTCCGTTCGCGTGGGCTGGACTTGGCCGCTCAGGGTTCCGGCTGGACTGGGGTCAGCGGCCGGTCGGTCGGACCTGAGCTGACACCGCGACGCCTGGGCCAGCCGCCGCTGGCAGCGAGGCTGAGCCGGGACTGGCAGCCGCGCCCCTCAGATCGGTCGAGCCATTGTTGACTGCTGTGGTGTGTCTCTGTTCACACTTCATCTTGTGGTTAATCGTCAACACGTGGTGACATAAGCGGACCTCTCGCCCCACCCAGACCCTTGTGCAGCTCCGAGCCGGATGTATGCCCTCTGTCGGTGCTAACTCATTAACATGCATGAGCGGCTCGTGTGTCTAACAGTCGGCACCTTCGCGGAGTCGACGTCAATCAGCAGGTTCCAGCATTCATAGGTCTCTGCTTCCTCAATGAAAGTTTTGGAGTATTTACGCTAGCCACGCCCTGCGCCGGCATCGAATAACGCAACGGCTCAGCGCTGGCTTATGAGATATGTTGTGAATAACGACCACCAAGGGAAATTCAAATGAATGGTGTAAGTGAGCCAACTCAAGGAAGAGCGTGCTTTTCCACCTTTGCTGTAATTTCAGCGTTTGGCTCAACAATGGCATGCAATTTCTCACAGAGGATAATTGCTGAAGCTTTCTAAAGCAGCTAGCAGTGTTTAGGAACTTTCGTGATGCGATCCTTGCGCAAGCTGCTTTCCGCTGAAAAACCAAAGATGTTTCTTAAGAATGAAGAACGAGATGAGTAGGAAGGGCGAAGCGGAGGCGTGTCAGACATAGCGCTTTAGCATACCTTTTGAATCGTGTTTTATGTCAGCTCATCGGTTTTCGCCGCACTTTTGCAACAAATAGGACCATGCGCTTACATGAGGCTAATGCGAATTCAATTTCCGTTAACATTGAGTAGTGAAGAATGCAGCGGAGGTATTTACCCATTCCATGGTCCAATCACCTGCCTCTGTAAGCAGTGAAATATCCGCGACCGTTATGTAAGCGTGAGAGCCGTAAACGCTGTGGGTTATCGCAGCGTCTGCCGCGCGATTACAGTTTTCCTATCACTCGCTACAAAATATGCGTGCCAATGTTCCAGATCAGTCATAGGTAATGAAGTGAAGCGCAATCTCTTAAGACAATGACCACTACATGCATTTCTCTGCATGTCTATACAGGTACCACGCCTGCACAGCTGCATCTATGCCTACAATACAATATCTCTGCCTGTTTGCCTCGGGGGGGGGGGGGGGGGGTAAGCCGAGCCGTCACGTTCTGTATCGGACGTCGCCTTTTCGGCTGGCTCGGAGCCAGTCTGTCTGAAATGTGCCTTCCATCTTTTACCCTTTCTTACCTTGCCGTCCTTCCTTTTGAAGCTATAGCTCCAATCATGAGAAAAATATTCTGCCTAAGCCGACACACGTATTCTCGTAGACAGTCTGGCATTGGCATATAGTCGTAGGTTTTCAAGTTAGCCTTTTGGCATACTTCAACTCATCGGAAGCCTCCGTCATGCTTCCACATTCTTCAACACAACGGTTCTAGGCACTTAATTGCTCAATACATCACGCTGACACGTCCCTATCGTACCAACGAAAGTTATCTGCCAACTGTTTGACCTTCGTCGAGGTGCTAAATGATAACCGCTTCGGTAAACAGGTGATAACACGTCCTAATCATCATGCCAGAGAAATTAAAGTGCCTGCGGTGGGCAAAGCCGTCGCCAGTTGTTCGTAGAGGGACTGCAAAGGGAGCATCCGATTGCATGTAGGCGGGGTGCCGTTCGACACACGATATATTGCCTGGATGTGAATGCTGAATATTTCCAGCGGGCTGTGTTTAACTGCGCTGGCTGCACTGGCCCTTCTTTGCTGGGACTAACTGGCAGCCTGAGATGAGGCCCTCTAGATGTCGCTTTCCTTCCGCAAGGGTGCGTGACAGGCAGGTCGTCCCGCAGGGGCGGTCGTCGCCCGGTGGTCCGCTCGCCTGGTCGGCCCGTCTCGCGCCCGGGACGACCCGACCTGCTACGCTGCCGCAGGCTAGACTCGCCTACACCACGTCCGCGCTGATCACATCTGCGATCCACTTCACGAAGGCGGACACCTCGACGAACACGGTCGGCATCCGGGTAAGGTCGCAATCGACGCCCCAGGAGGTGACGGCGGCCAGCAGCGGCTGGTCGGCGGACTTGTAGTACGTGAGTGCGCCGCCAGAGTCGCCCCAGCACAGGCTGCTGCCGTTTGGCGGCATCGCGCAGCTCATGGTGGCCGGCACGTAGTTGAAGAAGACCAGGTCGCGCAGGCACACGTCGTCAGCCAGCAAGGTCATCGTGATTTTCTGCAGGACTTTGGGGTAGACTGGACCCACGCCTGTCGACCCAGAGGCCCCCCAGCCGACAGCCACCGCCATCTGTCCTGCAGCCGAGGGAAGCACATGTCAGCCGGGCAGACCAACAATTTGAGGCTGAGTGATGGCGGCTCATCACAAATTTGGGAAATTTTATACTGAGTCTATGACGTTTTACATGGAGAGACCGGAATGCTGTTTTAAGGCCCAGACATCAAAGTTCATAAATTCATGGCGAAATCACTCCTGAAGATGGTACTCAAAATCATATGTTTTTCATCGTTTTATTTAAAGCCATGTCTGGGCCATGACTAGAATGCTCTTAAACAGGCGGTCAGGATGATTTCTGATTACTTTTTAAAAAATGGCTGATGAATGGCGCAGGTAGGTATCTGGCTCAGAATATTTGGTAGATCATCACCTAGTTTTTTGTTATCTCTCGTTATCTTTTTTAAGTCATCTCTCGGGCATTTAACGAATTGCAGCTACATTAAGTTCAAGCAAATACTTAGGTCAATTTGATAGCGCGCAAGGCTGAGACTTTAACTTATGATTGTGCAAAGAACAATAGCCAAATTTCTGATGGTAAATCAAATAAGGTCAATAATGGGACGCATATTTCTACTTTACTGCGCCCTCGGTGTGAGTTTTTCAATATAAAAACATATCACAAACTATAAAACTCATGAATTATGTGCTTGCTCACGTCCAGGACAATGTCCTTTGAAAGGAGTCTGGGCCGCGAGTAACTGTGTGACCTATACCACAGGAGCGACGCACGATCAATTACAGATCAACTGCGCCACAGGAGCGACGCACGATCAATTACAGATCGACTACACCACAGAAGCGACGCACGATCGATTACAGATCAACTGCACCACAGGAGCGACGCACGATCGGTTACAGATCAACTGCACCACAGGAGCGACGCACTATCGATTACAGATCAGCTGCACCACAGGAGCGACGCACGATCAGCTACAGATCAGCTGCACCACAGGAGCGACGCACGATTGGTTACAGATCACGGATCACGCGTGATGAGTGCACACCATAGGCCAACGAAATAGGGGACACAGACACCCTAAAGCATGGACTCCAGCGAGTGTTACCTTCCACCCTACTGGAAGTAAAATCCACTCTCTGCGGTATCTCTGTCTCGTATGTCGTTCGCCTGTGGTGTGCGCTCATCACTTGTGATCTATGATCCGCAATCGCTCGTGTGTCGCTCCTGTGGCACAGTTGATCTGCAATCGCTTGTGTGTCGCTCCTGTGGCACAGTTGATCTGCAATCGCTCGCGTGTCGCTCCTGTGGCACAGTCGCACACAATGGTACGGACCCGAGGCTTCTTTCCAATAACGTTGTCCTGGAGATAAAAAGATGCGCGACGTGGAATTTTCCAGCTCGTGCAATATTGTTGTGTCGAAAAGCTGCCGACTGATGGGTCGTTTACCCGCGGCCTCCTGTCTTCAAACCTTGACGTTTGCTTTTACAAGGCAAACATTCTGAATATCACTTCATTCTTGTGTCATCCCATGACGAATCTTCAGCTCTCACATACCATATCTTAATGAGTGGTTTTAAAGATGTAGACATCTTTAATCCCATGCTCTATCGATATTATTAGTTCAGGGCTGTTATGCTGAATTATAGACACCCAGTACGGTAGGAGTTCCTGGTTAAACGATGCTGTAGACTATATATTGACTGCATAGACAGGACTCGACCTTTAAGGCTGTGGTTATGATCACGAGCAACCACGATTAAAAAAGGTTGAGATTTAGCAGGATTAAGCAAAACGTATGCTTTAATCCAGAAAACGCTGTGACTGCGCAGACACTCTCACTAAACATGTGACAAAATGCTATATAACCCGAGCTCTCACATCCTTACCCTCACCAACATACACAGTTCAGCCCCAAGGGTCGCACGAGACACAGGTGACTTAGCAGGAAGATTACGCTACGATCACCCATACCGAATATCAGATTAAAATCACTTACCACCATCATCGGGTACAATGAAGAAGGCTTGACTTAACCCGAAAGCGTTCGCGAGGTTAAGGCAATGCTCGTGGCGCCTGGTGATTTCTAATCTAATGCGCGATATGAGTCAAGGTAGCCCTCCGGCCTAGCCATTTTGATTTTGTGCAGCTCTTAGCGTTGAGCCGTGCATCGGGTGTTAGAACGCGGGAGCTCGTATAATTTATCATTTTGGACATATTTTTAGTGCCCGTGTCTGAACAGATTCGAATCACTTTCTGGCTTAAGGTGCTTTGATGGTCAAATGTCATGTTTGCTTAGGCTTACTCAATCTTTTTCAGTCGTGATCAAAAGCATAGTTTGAGGCGTTTCGTCCTGCCAGTGCAACCAATGTTTGTCCTATTCCATGGTTTAACCAACACCTACAGGTAATTGAAGGTTGCTTACTCAGCGTAAGACTATAATCCAGGAGCTGAAGGTCTTTCTTGCTTTTTCAAATGCATTATCACTGCTCGTGACCTTTCCTAAGGTCATTTTGAATCAAAATTAAATGAACTTAATATAAAAATAAATGCTAAATTTTACTCAAATCCATTATGATATGAAACATGGTGAGTGGGGTGGGGGATCAATACTAGTGTTCAATAATGTAAAGGTCCAGGTCATCGCGGGCTACACATTCAAAGCTACCCTAAGTGCTTCAGTCGCACTAAAGGTTTTTCACCATGGTTTTCCAAAGGTGGGGTGTAGCCACGCCAAGCTTTGCACGGTTACTGCCAATTTAATATGAGATCTTGTGTTATGGAAGCAGATGTATCTTGTAAGGTTGTTAAAGCCATGCCGTAGCTATCAGCGCAGGTCATTTCTAGGAAATCGTTAAAGCTGATGCGACACCCGGTGTTAGGTAACGCCATACATTTCGGAAATAGTTTCTCGGGCTATACATCAATCATCTTTAGAATTACAAGTTCCATGGGCCTAGGTTCAAGTACGATGGTCTGTAAAGAAATGTAGGTTTACGGGTTGGAACGACGTCAAAACTACCCTGCTTCATTGCTCGAGAGCTTGCCTTACGGCGTAGTTTCTGGTGCTCATTCCCAATTTATTAAATTCAGATACTGCAACAGACATGTTCCGCGGACTTTTGGAAGGTAAAGTAGTTAACTGACCTACAATGACCAAAGTCAACATTTCGTTTCTAAAAACATACAGCTCAGCTTAATACCGGTCGCTTACTTGAAAAGCAAAATAGGAACAATCTCGTAGGCCTTTGGTCACCTTGACATTTTTAGATCAAACAAAGCCACTGATCCAAAATAAATATCATTGAAATTTTGCTTAGAACAGGTATCTAGGTTCACGGTGGTTGCAGAAGGAGGCCTGGGGCACTTAAGACAAATTTAGAGTTTGATCTTGTTTGACACTGTTCATCCCAAGGTTATGACCTAGAGACCATACATTTTGACACAAGTGTGTTCACACGCAGGCCAGCCCATCGTGTGAATTTGGCGGCTCTGGCTATTTTAATTTTGAGATCTCAAGATGGGCCAAATTGGCGCCCGCTCGAGCAACATGTGTTCCTTTAAACTGCCACCCGGGCGCGTGTTAACACGCGCCCGGTTGGCCGACTGGACTCCTTCACTCCGATGGGGGGCAATTTTACCCCGCTGAGATCTCAGGAACCAAGGAAGCTAAAACACTAAATTCACAGGGTGTGTTGAACTGTACATGAATTAACTTAGGTCAAATTTTGAGGTTGCTAGGTTCTGACCTTTGGGTCAAATAAGGTCATACAAGGTCAAATTTCAGATTGGTCCCCAGAGAGCCCCTGCAGCCCAGATAACTGTTCAAAGCAAAAAGACTTCATGCTCAGTTAAGGTCAGTGACTTCCGTTGACCTTTTGAAGGTCACGGTGACTAAAAACATACAAGACTGCTTCGAGTTTTGCATTTTAAAAAGTGACAAAGACGACGCTGGAAAGTATGTTTCTAAAAATAAAATGATGACCTGGGTCATTTCAGGCCAGTGACGTGTTCTGACCTCAAAGAAGTCCATGAAAGGTGTCGATGCAATTTTTTTCTCAAAAATTTGTGTAATGTAATGTAATTACATGTGTATGCTTATGCTATTATATATGCATATATGTTTTGATATTATTTATACATGATAATGTAGTGTAGTTCAAAGTCAAAATTATTTGTTCATTCAATTGTTGTGTTGCCTAAGAAAGCATCTCAGAGATGTGTGACTTCGTCTAACACTCTGTTGGTGGATCAGATTGAACGATTCCCTAGAAATTGTCTCGCTGAAACCATGGCCTGACGTTGACCTGCTCTAGTTCGGCAACCTTGCAAGATGCATCTAAATTTGCCATGCCGGACGATTTTTTGTTCCATTTTTTACAGCTGCGCAAAATTTGGCGCGGCTACGCCGCGCCGTTCGGAAACCATTCCGAAAAAACCTTCGGGGAGGGGTCAATTCCCCCCCCCCATCCACCCCAGCGCGTGCTAACAGATATTCTATGGTGTACGCATTTCATTCTCAAACACGAAGGTCGATGTTGAAGAGCATGCAAGGTTAAGGTCATGGCATATTGTAGAATAACTTCCTATGACCGTGCACTCACCATTGAAAGTAACTGGCGTTACGCTTTGTTTAGTAATAGTTTTAACGTGCTAGCGGACGAGGCACAAAATGCAAGACTAATGTGCAGCCGCGCAAACGTGCAAAGCTACCTACAGAGAGCGAATACTTGGTTTGATCTCTGATTGAATTTGACCGGTCATTCGTTAGATATGCTGTAAAATGAATTAGCTGAAAGTTGTAGGCCATGAGCGGGTCACAGCCTCGATTTCAAACTGCGTTATCACATCAGGTGTAGAATCAGTGAGATAATCATACCAAGTACCAGGTTCGGCGCCACGTGTTTTAAGTTGGGGTACAGGATTTTCCAGGCGGCTTCCTGGACAAAATGAGGCCTTCGTGCAGGGGGCCTTCTGGGCAGTGTCATATTCGAACGGAGGGCAACCGGGAGCATGTGCCGCCGTATCAAACGGTTGCAGGTGTCATACCCGAGAAAATAAGTATAGACAGTTACAAATTTCAAGTGAGAGCCCTCTAATTATCCAGCAAAGGTTCTTGTTGATCTAAAAATCTCCTTTTCCAGGACAGGGCCTCCCGATACATGGAGGGATCTCCTTATACAAAGCATGATGCTTACAATTCACGAAGGAACACTCCGAGTATGGCAAAGGGGCCTTGCTGTCCCAAAATAGGGCATCCTGATCCGGAAACGCGGCGATCTAATGCATGAAAGAAACCTTCTGTTCCAGAAATTAAACCTGAATATATAGGGCGCCTCTTTACCAAGAACAGGGACTGCTAGTTTGTCATGGGGACCCAAGCCAGCAAATAGAACTCCTGAACACAACGCTAGGCCCCACGATCTGCAGCATTGGCTTCCTCATTCATAAATATGACCTCAGCATCCAGAAAATAGGTGTCTTGATGATGCAAAAGGATTTCTGAGCCCACTTTGTAACTGTAAAGCTACGTTATGGGTGTCTCCCAGATCTGAACCATGTCAATCTACGAGTAGCCACAATGCGCTTGGCTTGGTAAAAAGCGGCACTCAATTATTTCTTTTTGGAGGGGAGGAGGAACACAATTTTGCTGCCTTCTGCCTTCCGGCCGGGGGAGGGCAACTGTCTTGTCTGCCCCCTCCCCTCCCCCTCCTGCTGTGCTGCCCCTGCCAGCTACTACATGCTGTGGAAGGCTTGAAGACCGGAGAAACTGACGAGGGCTTAAAGCCACTTCATTGATACACACAGCCGCCTCCGACGGTATTCCACACCAACTGTGCTAAAACAAACTAAACAGTCTGGACCATACCATGGCACGTGCCTGCAGTTTCCTACGCAGACTATTGTGCAGCATCTCTTTAACTCCGCCTGACAGGTCAACCGTGGCCAGGTTAAGGCACGGGGGCTGTGGGCATACTTGTAGGGGAAACCACGCAGAGACGTTTTGGCTGTTTCTTAGTAGGCTTTCTTGTGTCCACAGAGCTAAGCTGATGCAATTAAAAGAAACTTGGAATTTAATTCAGGGGATAGTGTTAGATGACCTTGGTTTATTGCATGACATTACATCGTTTGATTTTGATGTCCTCAAACGTATTATTTGATGTGCGTAATACCCTGGTGTTGGTCCATTACGGCGGGCCCACTAGTGATACCCACATGGACGGTCTTGAGCGCTTGACGTGACCCTAATGTTGACGAATAACATTACCATTGCTTTCATGCTGGTTATTGCAGTCATTTTAGTTCATTGCTCACTTGCTCACCCAGCAAGAGACCGATTTGGGGGGTTCAGCCTTTACCTCATTGTCAGCATGTCCTCCTTACCATCGAAGTCTTCCGCGGGATCCGGTAGAGCCAGAGCTTTCACCCATTGTGTATAGATGGCGGGCTGGTCGATTTTGAGAAGCGCGATGTCGTTCACGTCGTACTGAAGGCTACTGCGATGCGTGTTGAACTGGTCGGAGGGCAGGACAATCTGTGCCACACCTCGCCGCTGTTCTGAGCCCTCCTCCACCGTGACGTCATATTCGCCTAGTATCACCTGCGGACAACATGCAGATACGCACACAGTGCATCACGCTGATTTACTAAACAAAAAAAAAGAAAAACTGCTCGTGAAAGTTGTAATTCCCCACACATGCTTTACTGCGTGACTGCACTGATTGCGGTGCAGCGCAGCTTAAAGGGAGTGTTGCGTACTTAAAAATACCGAAGCAAGCATCAGATATGATGAAATAAGTTCACCTTTTGGTATGCTTTTATGCTTATATTCCCTATTTGTGTGAGGTTTTGAGCTCAAATGTTCATCGTAAAAATCTTTCGGTGCAGTTCACAGCCCGGTCCTTTTTAAGACCTAAACCCCACAAGTGTCTAAGCAACACGCCCACGAAGATGTGCATGCAGGCTTTTTCGTGCAGACTACTTCAAGTTCGCCAAGTCATTCATAACGCAGCAATAACGTTATTCAGATCCGTCCATTCCATTGAACATGTGACGATCAAGATAAACAAACAAAATTGTCGGGTCGTTCATATCTGGCTTTTGTGAGCACGATTTCCGGACATAACGGCCGCCAGTTGGCTCTCAATCAATGTTATGCCAGTTACAATGACGTAAGCAATGACGCATTGAGGAGCATGTTCACTAGACAGAAATTGTGTGGTCTAGAACACTTTTTCCACTATAGTATGACTTAAACCCCTTTAACCTCGTAATCCAATGGTTTTAAAAACCTGCTTCTTCATATGTGATGCTTGCTTTAATATGCTCAAATTCGAAACTTTCTCTTAAGTGGGAAAGCTGCTCCAGGCAACACAATTTCCCTGTTTTTTAGTTATGCTCCTCAATATGCTGTTGCTTGATTACGTCACCGTAACTTGCACAACATTGATTGAGGGCCGACTGATCGCCGTAAATGTCTTACAATCGTGCTCACGAACGCCAAATATGGACGAATGGAAAATCTTTTTTTGGTCTTGATTGCCACATGGTCGATGGAATTGCGGGATTTGAATGGCGTTATTGATGCGTTATGAATGGCTTGGTGATCTTGGAGAAGTCTACATGAAATAGTCCGTACATCTTCACGAACATGTAGTTCAAAAATTAGAGAGGCTAGGTCTTAAAGATGGCATGACTGTGAACTGCACCGAATGATATTCAACATTGTTATTTTGATTGAGCATCCCATACAAATGTGCAACTCTCCCCGTAAACGTATTCACACAAAAATAACCATAACGTCAGAGTAATCGCATTCTGGCGTCGTCAGGGCAGTACACCGCCCGCCTCTCACCCCGACAAGAAGGACAGGCATCGCAGTGAATCAAACCGCGTACCTCTGGTGTCCCAGACGTACAGTGCTAAACACAGGCGCGTTAACCACGGCGCATCGGCATCCTTTTTAAGACTCTGGCATTGAGTCGAGGTTTTGGGACGCAGATAAGAGAGTGGTGGATATCAGAGCGCGGAACGTCAAGGAAACGGCCGTTTCGAGACGGACCATTTCTTATCACCGGTGTGTTTCGTGTTTTGTCCTTCTTACTCAGTACTTACAACTTTGATATAAATAGTTACAGTGATATGTACTTGTGACGCTTGTACTGAAAAGCCTCTTCTGTGAAGATCATAAGAGAACATGATTATGGTGATATCAATATGTAATTATGATGGTGATACTGATATATAGTGATGATATTAATAAAAGTTCCAGCATGGGAGGATTTCATAAACATTATTTCTTAAGCCGACATCTGAATTTTGACGGCACGAATCACCCCACTTTGATGTATGAGCTGTGGGCAGCCTATATTATGAAAACTATAGATAGGAGAAGTGCCGCAGCGCTCGCCGCCCAGAGGCCGGACCCGCGCGAGCACTCCTCTCACCGCGGAGTACGCCAGCAGCGCCCGCCGCACGGAGGCCGGGCCTGCGCGAGCACGCCTCTTCCCGCAGGATAAGCTGGCGCCGATGTTTGAGGCGAACGTGGCCGACGAGCAGAAACCAGCGTCATGCAGAGGGCCGCGAGGTGATAATTGTCGCGCCAGCCGCAGATCGAACATGACCCGGACAATAAACAAACACGGCCCGAGCACGGCCGGTCGCTGTCCGAGGCTAATCAGCCGTCTGGACACAGTCAGCCGTGTGACGTTGGCCCGGCGAGCCAGGCGGCCACGGATGGAGTCCAGGGGGATGTTGAGGTCCGAACTGCTGCGGAACCGAGTACAGGTTCAGAAACTGGTCCGTAGCAAAGGTTTATTCGGACAGGTGATCACGGGTTGAAAGCGTCAACAAAAATTGGCGAGGAGAAGCTGCCAGAAGGAGCATGCTTCCATGACGAAATGTTGAAATCAGTTCAACTTACACAGCAAGCTGGCGCGGCCACTGCCACGCATGTCCGTCCATGTGGGGGATTGTCATTAGATGGGCCCTAGATGCTGCACTGCGAGACCTGAGGTCAGGTCACATTGCCACTCTGCCCATTGATAGTCTCATAGTAAGTGTTTTGTAAATGATAGCAGATGCATCTTGAAATCGCGTACATCTGCTTACCAAGCTCACGGGGTGTGTGGTGATGTGTGGTGACATCGCACAGTACTTGGACAAATGGTCTGAGGTGGAGCCTCTCCCCGAAGGTTCTGACATATGTCTGCTCTCCAGAACGCGATGGTGAGAGGGCTTTGTCCTCGACCTCGACCTCGACCTCGATCTGGTGTCGATCGGCACTTCTGTTTAGATTCTAGACATCGATGGAGATATTTTATCACTCATCTGGCAGCCTACAGCATCCATTTGTACCAATGGACAAGCTGTGTCTATCCCCCTTCTCACTGATGCGGCCTTAGGTGACTCTGGACGGTGCGAGGTTGAGGGCGATGCTCTCACCTGGTAAGCCGAGGGGTTCGGCTCTGCCGACAGGCAGTGAGCGGCGGTGAGCAGCCACAAATCCGACACAAGCACGGCGCCGCACACGTAGACGGTGTTGCGTTTCAGCTGCGCCTGCCAGGGAAACTCGCCCTTCTTCGCCACCTCTCCGTCGATGATGCTCCAGCCGCCGTCACCAGCGGTGACCTCAGGTGGCGGGAGCACGCCACACAGCGCCACTATATGGGCAGAGGGCAGCGGTCAATTGTTGTCGCCAAGATGTCATCGGCTAGGCGCCTTTCCTTGCTTTTTACGACGGCACATGTTTTCTTTCTGCTGGTGTGGAGGACATCAATGATATGGCATGGTTAAAAAGTGAACACTCTGGGGCGTTTGAGGCGTCAGGAGGGAGCTGTGCTCGTGCAAAAGGACACGCCACTCAAAACACAAGTATATGTGGGAGCTGTACACAACATATACAATTGTTTTTTCATCGCACCCGGCCAGCCCGACATATTTAGTTCCAGGACAGTCACTGACCGGACACGAGGACGAGGATCACTGGCAGTCGCATGGCTGGGCTCTTGGTACTCTGCCGGCGCCACTGGAGCCGCCGCCGACCCAACAGACCTGGCAACAATGTGCCGGGGGGCAGGGTGGCCTCGACCATCATCACATGCTATCGACAGCTGCCGCCGGCTTCTCAGGGGCACTGTTGACTCAGCTATCTGCCGGCTCTGCGGGCGGCGGCGCCGGGTCCTTCTCCGTCCCTGATGCAACCCACGGGCCTGAGAGTGCCGGCCCCGACCGGATGCCGCCGCGCTGCGCCGCACCGGGGACCGGTGCCGCCGCCCGGCCGAGTCGGAGCGTGCCATCGCCGACGTCCGCCACAGCAGTGTCCCCCGGCAGTGTCCTTGTGTCCTCTGGCGGTGGTGCCCGAGCTGAGCCGCGTGGGAGACGACAGCTGGCTCGGTGCAGAGGTGGGAGCCTCGAGCTGGCTGAGCGTGAGGCGGGCGTCGCCCGATAGCTCGTGCGAACGGCAGTGGTGAGGCCAATAATACCAACGGATGTTGGTCAACACGGGGACGGAAATGGCGCAGGTCCGATGGCGGCGTACCCAGGAGGAATGGGGCGGGGCAGGTTCTTAGCCCACGTCCCATGACCTCCTTCGAGGTCGCGGAGGCCCCATAGGGCCTGAAGGTCCCAGCACTTTTGACCCTTTAAGACATCAGTAGGGATTCTAGAGCGTGCAGAGCCTGAAAAGCTCGTTCCGAAAGCATGGCCCTTATAGCAACAAAGTGCTTTTTGCTAAAAGGTCCCCTATGCTTACCTGTTATGCTGTACGTGTGGACCTAGTTACGTTGACCTACTCTCATGTGTGGCCTAGTTATGTTAGAATGCTCCTAGATGTAACCTAGTGATGTTGAACCACTCCTAGGTGTGGCCTAGTTATATTGACCTACTCCTAGGTGTGGCCTAGTTGGCTGAAAGCCGAGCGCCAACAAGTTCTTTTCAGGATTCAACAACACCTGGCGATGGCCGGAGCTGGGTGGATCCCAACACACCAGAAGAGGACGATGGTCCAAATACTTACTCCATCCCGAATACCGTGGCATGCTACCAACCAGATAAGAGCAAGCTCTGCAAAATATGTATTTACGATCCCTCCACGGCTCAGGGAAAGGCTGACGTGCGGTGCGTGGGTGGCGGCGGTCCACCTAACCGGCAGTAGGCGCGGCCAGACACGCCGGCAGAGCCGGGGACAGACACGCCCGCAGAGCCGGGGACAGACACGCCCGCAGAGCCGGGGCCAGACACGCCGGCAGAGCCGGGGACAGACACGCCCGCAGAGCCGGGGACAGACACGCCCGCAGAGCCGGAGCCAGACACGCCCGCAGAGCCGGGGCCAGACACGCCGGCAGAGCCGCGGCCAGACACGCCGGCAGAGCCGGGCCAGACACGCCCGCAGAGCCGGGCCAGACACGCCCGCAGAGCCGGGGCCAGACACGCCCGCAGAGCCGGGCCAGACACGCCCGCAGAGCCGGGGCCAGACACGCCGGCAGAGCCGAGGCCAGACACGCAGGCAGAGTCGTTACGGCATGCTCGGTCTGCTCGATATCCCGGCGCAGCGCTGCAGTCTGCTCACCTGCTGTTGAGGGCTAACAACCTCGAGCTTCAGCTCCGCTACCGCACCCTTCAGATCGGCAGCGCGCTCAGCACGTCTTAGCAGCCCTCCAGCGTTCGCGCGTGCTGAGTGGCGCCACGGGTGTCAGCCTCCAGGGTCTCCAGCCCCGCCGGACCTCTCTCCACGAGTCTGCGCACAAGGTGGAGGATGTTATCTAGCTGCACCTGGAAGGGGTGACGTGTTATAGCGACCTGGGAGACCTGCAGAAGATCAGTGGCGGAGGTCTCATCCATTGCCCAGCGCAGGTAATTTGCTCTGTGGCCGCGCAGAAGGCCACTGCGCTTGCCGGTGATCCTGAAGTAAAATGCACGGGGTAAGTCGGAATAAGTATTCGAGTAAAAGCCAGAACATAAACGCAAGCAGGTGACATGCGTAATCATCATTGACTGATCAGACAGAAAAGTAATAAAAAAGCTGTGGCGTTGGTACTCATTGGCTTCATTAACTGCAGTATTTATTAACTTGGGTATGATATCATCGGCCCCGGTAGTACCGGTCCGGAAGTGGCTGCACCTGCGGACGGTGCACCCGGCTGCAATTGGCTGACAAAAATCCAATGCTACTGACGTCTCGCATGCTGACTCCGAGAACTGGCTGTGACAGCCCCGCCAGCCAGAGCCCAGCGAGCCCGCCGGTGCTAAGTGTCAAGGACTGGCTGCGGCAGCTCCACCACCCCGAGCCCGGCGGGCCCGCCGGTGCTAAAGGTCGGTGGCGGACCCGGCTGCTCTCTGGAAGGAATAGCGTGCGCACTGTCGCACATGCTCCGATCATTGCGAACTCGAGTCACAGTCATCCGACACCCCTCCCCTGAGCAGTGCGCCGTGCACCTCGCAGACTTCCGGTGATCACGTGACCGGTGAATGGTGTCGCCCAAATTGGTAAGGTGAATCGTTTTTCTTGTAGGCCAGGGCATTAAGCTATTGTATTACACGCATTCCTTACCCCACTGCCTATTCCCTTGGCCGAGTCACTCAGACCGTGGCGAAATGGTCAGGCCACCAGTACGTGCGTTTGTTCGACCAACCCCTTCGAGGGTGCCAAATGTCGTGTTCTCAGGATCGATCACAGAGATGGATAGCGGCGGCCGATTCCCCAGGTCGGCGGGCGGGGTGCTGTTGTCTCCCGGCCGTCCGCCCGCCAGGCCGCAGCCGGGGGGCAGGCCGGCCTGATCCATGCCTTTCCCGGTGTGCCGTGCCTGGCCGGACGCGTGTGTTTACTCTACGTCCTGACCGGCCACCTGCGTTTGACTCGTACCGTTTGTTTTGGGCTTTTCTCATTATCCCACGACCTTTCTCCATCGCGGTGTGCGTATAAGCTGACCGTAAACATGCCGCTCACACCCTCTTCTTCTCTGACATTCGGTGGTCAGACGTCGTCTCCGTTCAACAACAGAGACGCCTTCCTCAGCGTCAGCGTGACTCGGGGAGTAAGCCCCGAGCAATGGGGCACCGACACCGATGAGTGGCAAAGAGCATCGTCCATTCATCCCACCTGTCTCGCTGTTTTGATGAAAAGCTTCCTTGTAAGTGAAATTTTCAGTCCTGTCTCTCCTCTCTAAATGGCGTGGTAACCGTTGACCCCGACGCGCCGACCCAACAGTCCGCTTCCACCGGGCTACGCTGCCTCATGCTCCGGCCGACATCAGCGGCGCCCGACCATCCCGCGCGCGCCGCTTCCGGCCTCTACCTCGCTTCACTTCCCAGCGGCTGCATGAACTGTAACGCGTAACCAAACACGGCCCGAGGCGGCCCGGGGCGCAGGATGGCCCCGTGACGTCACTCACGTCACAAGCCGGCACAGCCAATCACCATTAAAGGGAGTGTTCACGTTTGCATGGGGTTTTGAACTGAAATAGACATTTTGAAGATCATCTGATACAGTTCACAGCCCTGCCCTTCTTAAGACCCAAGCCTCTTTACTTTCTCAGCTACTCGCCCGCGAGGATGTACGGACTATTTCGTGCAGGCTACTTCAAAGTCACCAAGTCATTCATGACGCAATAATAACGTCATTCAAATCCTGCCATTCATCGGCAACGCGGCGATCAAGACCAATAGAGATTTGATTGACAAGGCGTTCATATCTGGTGTTCGTGAGCACGACTGCCAGATATACCACCTCGGCCACTGGTGTGCACCATTGAACAGAGCAGATGAACTCCAAAAGGACTTAAGGGAACATGTGGTCGCAAATTTGAAACCAAATACTCACGGATGCATTTTTTGCGTGCTAATCTGTAAATTAAATTGCTTCGAAATGGGATGATTGTGGATCTGGCCACAGCTTTATTTTCAGCCGGCAGAATCCATGGCTTGTAATATTATATGTTTCCTGTGAAGTGATCAAGGTATTGCAAAAAAAATGCCACTGAGAACTGCAACACGTTGTGCATTTGCCACGGCCCAACCTCTCAATTTTGGCTGCAGCTTGCTTCTCAGCCGACTACTGCGCTCACGAGGATCTTAAATTATTAAGATCACGTGACGATTTGTAAATGATGCATTCGCCTGTTGCCTGCATTTGGTGCCACGCTTTTATTTGCTCTGATTGGCAGGCGGAACATCACTACCTCATAAGACGAGCGAATAGACTGCTTGCACTTAGGCACATGAACCGAAATTATAAAGGACAACTTTTAAAGGAAGGTGATTGAAGTTCCCGGAACCTGCATTAAGTCGCAGTAGGTGTTAACCCGAAAATGTTACTCTCCCGGAAAAGCTACGTCGTTGCAGGCTGCTTAAGAGTTACTCTCCCGAAAAAGCCACGTCGTTGCAGGCCGAAAAAGATACGCCGTGTGTCGTGTGAGCTACGCCTGCGTCATGTAAAACAAATCCCAATCAGTACTTCTAGAAGCCCACATTGACTGAGATACACTGCATCACGTCTGGTCAAGCTGCTCGGTCACTCGGTTTGTCACCCATGTTACTGAACAATACAAATTAGCTTTTCAATTGCTTGACTTTTGCACAGGCGTTTCCCGTACGTGTACAAAAGGATCTCGCTCGCCGTGGAACCACAAAAAATAACAGACACCTGGCCAGACTTCCTGATAAACAGCGCTCTGGGCAACATGAAAATGCTTCGTAAAATGTTCTATGCCTGACTCACATGCCCCGTTTGTCCCAAGCTTTAAACACAGATTCGCGTAAAAACAGCTTCAGTGATGCTTCATAAGTGAACGGTAGGGGTGGTAAACCTTGCCGACTTGGTGGATAAGGTCGGCGACAAAAATGTATATAGTCATGCGAAGCTTAGTGCCAAAAATGTTTTTGGAGAGCAAATTTTGGTGACGGCCGAGACAAAAAAAAAATACAGCATACTGTGCAAAACATAGATGAGGTCTCCATACGTAAATACTATGCCCCCGTGGTAATACATTTCGTCACACA